TCTGCTGTGAATGAGAACTCCAGATTCTGGGCTCAGTTCCTCCGCATGATGGCTGTGGTGCATGATCTGTTGAGAGCAGATCATGAGGGGATATGGGAACTTCATCTTGATGCCGTGTGCAAAACGTGCTCTCTACTTATTCGCCGCCTTTGACTCGACCAACTATCTTCGCTGGGCTCTGTCTACCTGGAAGACATGCGGCGTTTACCTCAAACTGCACCATCAGTCCATGACAACTTCTCAAATGGGAACCCATCCATAAAGGAGAAATCCAGCCACTTCACTTCAGTCGATGGTGGCCAGAAGCTTGAGCAAAGTATTAACCTATCATCTGAATGCAGTGACGGAATCATCGGGCATGCCAAGCAGAAGCAGTACGTTGCTCAATCGGACTTGATCTACCATGAAATGATGGCAGTAGAGAATCTACATCAGAGATATGCTGATGTGATGAAGAATACACACGAGTCCTTTAACCACCACGAGTAATCCCAAGCTACTACAGCTCGCAATGGTAAATTTCATTGAAAAGAAGGGGTCCCCTATGCCTCTAGGGGCTTCCCCCTTGCTGCATACTTTCGTGATAAAGAACATCATGGCAAAATACATCAAATATGACATACTGTGCCTTCGCAAAAGGAGAAGAGAAGTACTTGACATTTCGACTCAAAAGGTCCGTACAGAAAACCACAAGACTTTAGTGAAAGCATTCATCGATCGAACCTGAAAATAATGAAAACAAATCGATGCAAGCCACAGAAGACCATCAAGAAAACAGTGACGGAGATGAATGTTGTAGGGGAAACGATTGAAATCGCCCGTGATCGTGGCCTCATGACTACCGAGGACCTCTTGAAATATGATGTTGCACCTTTACCTCTCTTGTTCAATGAGGACGGGATGATGATCAACTCAGGGAAGAGCCTGTCGATTAAGGAGTTTGAGACTAATCTCAAACCTGAGGACTTTGACTATAGCCATCGGAAGAATGCTTCATTTGGCATAGACATAATGGCCACAGTTCGTAATTAGGTTCGTGTGACTAGCCTCTCCAGCTTCAAGGATCTCCTCTTAGCATTTGTATCCATTTCGGATGTATACCATCAGTTCGGGCGATGTGACTATGTGTTCGACACGTACTCAGATGAACCCTCAGTGACGGATAGCGAGAGAAAGAGGCGCACTAAAACTGTACCAATCGAGTACAGTTCAATTGAACCAGGGACATCTCTACCAAAGGCGAGGGAGAGATTCTGGCCTTTAGACATGAATAAGCTTCTTCTTGAGAAGCTAATCTACTGCCATCTTCGTTCAAATACTTCTGAAACATTACAATACCCCGCTGTATTCGGACAAGTGACCAAGGAAGACGAGGATTGGATTGCATCATGGTCCATCAAGGCCATGAAAAAGCATTGCCACACACCTTAAAGCGCCATTTGAAGTAGCTGACCTCCGAATACTCATCCACGTCTTGCACTCTCTCAATGCAGGACACAAAGTGTGTAGTGTGTTGTAATCTCCAACGATACAGATGTCATTGTTGCTCTGCTCTACCACATGCTGGTCTTTCACCACCACAACTTTGAGGAGCTGTGAGTGCGGGCTGGGATGGGAGATCCAACTCGATATATACCCCTTCATACCCTGTTCCAGCGCCTGGGAAATCGGCTCTGTGCAGTTCTGTCGGCTATACACAGTCTTACAAGGTGTGACATAACCAGAGAAGTTGGTACAAAAAACAGCTCTAAAGGCAGATCTAAAGGCACGGCCTGAAAGGTTTCTGAAACACTTCAAGGAATCATCAACCTTCTCTCCGGCCATGACTCGCAACGCCGAGTGAAGGTGCTGAAAAGAGGTAGCGACGCTAAATGTTTATCTGAATATCGAGCAGAGGTTTTCCGCTTCAGCAAAGAGGGTTCTCTCCACAGCCTACCTCCGACTAGTCAGTACAGGGACTCCTGCCTCATATCAAGCGTGAATTCTACAATGCCTACACTATCAGCCATGCATTGGAGTGCCAGCTCGACGTTGAAAACGTTGAGACACTGAAGCCAGAAGATTCTGGCCATGTGAACGACCACGCATAGCTGGTACCCGCAACATCGTGGAAAACCATCGAGCCTCAATGGTCAGTCTCCTGTTCATGTGCTAAGTGTACAAGTACAAGGTACAAGGCTGGGATGAAAAGTGGTAAATTTTGTCGGTGCAGGGAAACATTACCACAGGCTTGTAAAAACCCAATTGTTTGATAGGATCAGGCTGGGTTCTGGTAGGTTGTCTAGCATGCTTATTGCAGCTGAAGTTCGGTTAGGGTATATATATTGTATTTACTTATAATTGAGTATGGTAACAAGGAATATTTTAGACTAGTTTATACATAGGCATTATTTTTCACGAAAGCGTCCACCTGTACAGTTCTATGATGCATGTATATCCTACGATCTTATTTCTATGGGACAATTCATGTCTTAATTTCGCTTTTGGCAGACATCTTATACTTCCTCTAATTAGGTAAACTCCAAAATGTATAATAATGGTGTCAATCAATTCCTTGGTGTCAAAAACCTACATGTAGCCACACAAGCAACTTCCTAAGTCACTTAAGCTAAAGTCACACCAAGCTCCCGGACCGGGCCGGACGCTGCCGGACTGATCCGGGGAGAGATCCTTGTTGGGTCCTGGACGGTCCTGGACGGTCCGGCCCGGTCCGGGGTGGTCCTTGATGGTCCGGCGCATTCCGGGATATCGCCCCGGATGTTTTAAACTGTTTAAAATTGCCGGGGTGATCCGGGACGGTCCGGGAAGTTTTCACCATCCGGGGTGGTCCTGGACGGTCCGTGGCGCGTCCGTGGTAGGTCCGGGACAGTCCGTGGTAGGTCCGGGACAGTCCGTAGTGGCACCGTGTTGAACCGGGCCCATCCGTGGCCATCCGTGTCGTTTTTGTCGGCCACGGATCATTACGGATCAAGCCGGACCCAACACGGATGGGAGCACGGATGGGCCAGGACGGGGCCGGACCAGGCCGAATCAGGTCCGTGGCGGTCCGTGGCAGTCCGGGGCGGTCCGGGGCGGTCCGTAGTGACTCCGTGCTGGGGCCGGCTTCATCCGGGCTCAATCCAGGATGATCCGTGGCGCTGCCGTGCTGGTCCGGCCCGATCCGGCCCGATGATGCTTTTTTTCACCCGGATCGCCACGGATTATAAATTTTACGGTCCGGGGAGATCCTGCCCCATCCGCGGTAATCCGTGGACAGTCCGGCCCCAGTGTGACTTTAGCTTTACTTGAGGAGTTATCATCATTTCACGAAATTCGCAAAAGGCTGCTATTTGGGGGTAGGGTTGACCCTGAGTTACAACAGCCCCCCTATGCATCATATAAAGCCCGTGGGCCTTATTATAAAGCACGTAAAGCACGTAATAAGGAAACTTTTGGCCAATTTTGGCACGTCTAGCTACAATATTGGGCGAGTGAGAAGCAATCATACCTAGAGCTACTTTCAAAGAATTTTTTTGGATAAAATTGAGCAAAATGTAGCCATTTCGTACCATGAAACAATGTTTATGGCAACAAATCATGCTGGAAAGTTGTTTGTAATACTTATTCAATGTAATTCAGTGCAATTTCAAAGTTTATGGTTAGTTAATAAAGAATTATGCTCTGAAACTTCAATATTGTCATTTTTCACTTTGGCGCCTAACCGAGAATCACATATAATTGTACTGAAAAAACGTACTTGACCCAGAGGTGTTACCCAAACTTTTTTTGAGAGTCTTACCATAAGGAATGAGAAAATATAAGGTTTTTCTCTAAAAGAGTCATGTACACAACCCCCCCTCCCCCGAGCCTAGACATAGGTGGATGCTGTGAGGATCTCTGTCCTTTAAAAAATTTCCTCTTATTAATAAAGACTATATGACGACTGTTAGCAGATAGCGGTCAGTCATACGCACAGGCACGCCTAACCCTGTAATCTATCGCACGTCGATGTGGTAGGATATATATATATTCCGTAATGTAATTACTGAAGTGTACGTAGCTTTCAAAATGACATAAGTGAACATATATATTTAAAAGTGCGTTCAAACAAAATATTTTTTTATAGTAACCTATTCTTAATTGTGCCTTCACTTTTTTAATATATGAATTTTATTTAATAAATTTAATTATTAAATCCAACAAAATATGATGTCTGTTGGCAGATAGTGCTCAAGCGCACAGACGCTGTCTACTTACTCCGAAGTATGTAACTCAAAACAGGTGTATATGTCCGACAAAATTATATACGCAAGGCGTAGCTAGCAGGAGTGCGGGCACGGATGGGGCAGTTGTATATATATATTGGCATCTTCTTATATAATCCAAATTTATTGCACAACACGTGAGATCTAGATGCACATGTGCAGGTCTAACTGTAAATACAAAATAATACACACTAAATACTCATACTCATGTAGCTCATGACAATGTTCATTATAACCAAATTAGATAAGCGATAATATCCGATAAATTATATGAAATTAAGCGAGAACAAAGAAAAAACACGTACAATGTATGGTGGCATAGTGAAAAATGTACGAATAATTCGGCTTCTGTATTGATCAACATCGACACGCTTATTCCTAGCGATACCTGTTGTAAACGTCAATGTTGATCAATACAGAAGTCGAATTATTACAGTCGTAAATTAATTATAATATTGCTAAGTTATTATAATTATAAATTATTACATTATTTCAAACCGAATAAACCATCTTCGGAGAAGAAAGAACACTCCCCACATTGAACTACGTTCAACTAAAGTAAACTTAGGAGGAGCCCTCCCGTAGATTTGTACAATCTTTGAGATGGGGCGGACGATGTGATCTGACGAGACCGTCTCTGCATATCGAGACCACCTCTCTCTCTCTCTCTCTCTCTCTCTCTCTCTCTCTCTCTCTCTCTCTCTCTCTCTTCTCTTTATGTATATATATATATATATATATGGCATCTTTTCGCAGGTATTGGCTTTCGTCGTGTTCTGGTTGGCATTATTCAGCTCGTCACATTGCAAAGAAACTTATAAATCACGATACGTGGTATCCATGTCAACAGCAGCGGCAATAGTCGCACTAACGCTGGCTACATTATTGCTGTTTACGCAACAGTTCTGTGGTTTATGCAAGGACAGTGCCGGATACCCGAACAGCTTCATATATCTGTGGGTAAGTGGCGCTTGTAATCATCTGAAGCTTACGAAATTACGAACGATAATAGAATCGTTTATTATTCCCGGCTTAGCAGATTGGTTCCCCATAGTCAGAAAATATTGCCATATCGTTCTGTAGTCGGCTACTCGCGTAAAGACCCTTGTGAGATATCATGCTATTAAGTGTAGAGCCCATCGGGGAACCTAGCTAACCGATGACGAAGCCCATCGTGGGGTCGTGTTATGATCAGAAATACAAGTGAGCAATAATGAACTAGACTTTCGTCATTCAATATAGCCGTTATTTTCATTAATTAAAAAATTATTAATATTATTATTGAAAAAGACGCTGGGGAAAACATACTTCCATAAATATACTTACGTAGCCAAGCCTTACGAAGCAATCTACAAGTGGCTAACGTGCACGTGAGTAGGTATGCATTTTTTCAGTAATTACTGTCCGCCGGCGAACATGTCTCGAGTACCTCCGATCTCTTTTCTTGTGTAATTCCGTTCGCAGAATTTAGTGATACAGTTCATCTTCGCTATCGTGCTCATGGTGAACGCACCTCTCTATATGGTAGCAAGTTGCAAAAGCGGAGGCCATATCACAGCCGCGGTAAGCAACACTAGGGAAGCACTGTTCACTGGGGGCATTGTTCTTGCACATAGCGTAGCATCACGGCTGTCTTTAAGCGAGAAAACTTTCCTCGGTTTTCACCAAGTAATCACAGTTCATACAGGCTCATGGGCTCGCTGCTTTCTAGCACAATTTTGTTTGAATCGTGTCTAAGAAACACATTGTGATCACCTGCCGGTTTTCCGAGCGGTTAATGACGTCAGGAGAAACGTTCTCTTACAGGTGTTTCTGTTCGCGCTCCTGGCGACGTTCATTGTTGGCGTGGTGATGGGAACCAGGGATTTCCAGGCCGCCAGAACAGCAAAGATCTGCAAAATCACGAAAACCGAACTCGATTCTGACACACGCCCTCGATACTAACTCCGATGATGAAAATAATGTTTTGATTAGGAATTTCAAAACATCAATCAGAAACAAAATCCAAACTGTATTTGAAATGTCGCATGCAGGGCTAACGCAATCAAACATTACATATAATCGTCCATTTCATAATTCGTCCGTTCCATAATCGCCGTTTTGCCCAAATAGCCAGTGTTGTGTGAATTTCGCATTTGAATAAAAAGCCGTATGACTCATTATAGCCAGTAAATGGCGCAGCATGCCACTTTATACGTGTCAATCGTAGATATCTACGAGATACATTATACAATTTTCTTACAATCCCTGTAAAATTGTCATTATAATAGCTAAAACCTAACATGTTGTCGAGTTCTCTTTATCCGCGCCAGTTTGCAGCGCCAGCTGATGACCAGTTTTCTTCCTACGCCGATATGGAGGCGCTGCGAGGCTTCTGCTAGCCCGCGGCCAGCAATGAAATGGCCAGGGCCGTAGCCTGTGGTGGTGGCATTTGCCCCCTAGATTTTGTAGCAAAATTAAAAAATAAGCTTAGCTAATAATCGTAAATAACCCTAACGTAATTTTTTTTACATTTATCCGGGAAAGCCTTGTCTCAGAGCCAAAGACGCCCAGTCACCCACGGACGCAAATTAATTTTAAAAAGTGGGGGGCCAGACGTGGTTCAAGAGCTTGCGAGGGAGCGAAGCGGCCGAGGGGGGAGCTGGGAGGGTGGTACCCCGTCCAACGGTAGGAACTTTTCGTATTTATGATCTCTAAAAGGTTCATTTTCGCGCAATTAAAATTTGTTTTAAAGTATATTTTTGTTTGTATCGTTTACATACTATAAACTAGGTCATCTGATCACTAGAGGTCGATGAATTTTCAAGTCTTTCCATTTCAAATACTGTTTTTTTTTACTTCCTCGTGTATATCGTTAATTGTATTCCATCAGGGGCTTCGATCCATTTTGTAGTAGCTTGTTGAGGGGGAGAGGGATGGGAAACTCAGGGAAGGTGGCAGGGAAGACAGCCGAGGGGCGGTGGAAGGAGAAGACGGCTGATAAAATTTTATCATATAGATCTGTGCTAGGATAACCACTCTTCATTTTTAATTCATAATATTTAAAAACTATTATTCTTCTCGGGAGATATAGCGCATGCGCGAACATCGTTTCAGATGTGCAGTACGGCCAAAGGAAAAGTACGTAAATATAGGTTGCTGAGGGAGAGAGGGGTGGGAAAGTGAGGGAAGGTGACAGGGAAGACAGTCGAGGGGCGCTGGAAGGAGAAGGAGGCTGAGCGTGCGACAATGGAGACAAAGGGAAGGGCGGGCGGGGTAAAGTAGTAGTTTTGCACCCTACAGGCTATGGCGCTCTATTAACTATAAACACAGGTCTACTGATAAGAATTTATTACAGAAACCTATGTTGAGATATCCCCTGACCATACTAAATGCGTTTTAATCACAAAATAAAACTCCTCTGCTAAGATATTGCGCATGTGCTGAAACACCAACGTATAGACATGTTATCCAGTGACTAGTATATGCAACGGGAACCCTACATGCAGGTCTGCTTCCTATTTCTGAAGTGAGTTCTACTGATGAAATTTTATCATATAAATCTATGCTAGGATAACTCCTCTTCATTTTAAATTCATAATGTTTGCAAAATATTATTCTTCTCGGGAGATATTGCGCATGGGCGAGCACCGTTTCAGACGTGCAGTACGGCCAAATGAAAAGTTCGTAAATATAGCTTGCTGAGGAAGACTCAGAGAAGGGTGGGAGACTGAAGGAAGGCGGAAAGGAAGATAGCTGAGGTGCGGTGGAAGAAGGAGGAGGCTGAGCGTGCGACAATGTAGACAAAGGGAATATTATAATCTTCTCTGGAGATATTTTTTAGGCGTGCAGTACGACTTAAATAATAGTACGTAATATATACGATATGTATATCTACATTATAAGAGAGGAGAGGCCGATTTTCTGACGCGGCAATCTTCGCCACGGTGAGCATCAAGCCCACGCCACCGATCTCAGTGTATATAGCCCGTGTGTCGGACACCAACATAGGCTTATCCATATTTGTTAAATCCGCCTATATTTGTAGATATAATGACGATAAATAGGCCTTAATACGTACGGGCGATAATTTTAGCAGTGGGGTGATGTCAGAAAAGTAGAACAGCCGAATTCCTGCTAATGTAGCAAATTCCTAATGGGGAGGGGGGCAAAATTTCATGACTCAACTGTATAATGATGAGCGACGGGCGCAGCTCTTGATCGACGTCCATATAGTGTGGAGGGTCTGAGGGTGTAGGGGTGGGTCTGAGACATGGGCGTAAATCCCGGGGGAATTGAAGGAGGGGGGATGGCCTGTAGGTACATATATCCCCCCTGAGATTCAAAAAAAAAACTCCGTTCTCCGTGCCTCACTTGAAAGTTCAGCTAATTATGATAATTTGGAGACATGGGCAGACCTAAATCATTTCAATTACTGCAGGGGCGTGTACAGGGGGGAGGGGTCCAGGGGGTCCGGACCCCCCCCCCCTGCTCGCGCAGAAAACGCATCTGAGGGGGTCTAATTTCATATAGTTTTTTGACCCAGACCCCCCCCCCTTCGCGTGATCATTCCCCCTACTCCTCGGTACGGATTTACGCCCCTGGTCTGAGACAAGGCTTTCACGGATAAGTGACAAAAAAAATTAAGTTAGGGTTATTTACGATTATTAGCTCAGCTTTTTTTAAATTTTGCTCCAAAATCTAGGGTGGCAGCTGCCCCCTTGCCCCCATAGTCTACGGCCCCGCGAAAGGTAGAAATCGTGTAAATAGGATGCTAGCTAGCTTGGACTATACCTCATAATCTCATAAGTATTATAACGAAGGCTATAAGGACTATAACTAAGACGGAGAGAGAAGTGGATCAAATCGATAGATCAACACTGCAGATTGCAGTGGAAAAAGTTGCAATTTTGCAATTTACCAATGATGAAGGAAGAGAATTCCAATACGGAAGGACAGAAACAAAGAAGCTAAACTTTTCCTTAGAAGATGACAGAAGACTATCAGGTGAGTAGCTGCATAGGAATCAGATCCAATAAGAATTACTTAGTGAAATCGGCGAATAAAAATGAGTCATGAAACATGTAATTGTTAAAAGCAAATAATTTGGGATAAATATATCAGGTTACAGTACATTATTTTTTAATAGATGGCGCTGCAGCCGCTCCATGACCACCCCATGATGCCATGATTGTTGTGATTGTATGAACTGTATCTTTTCACGTCGTTTTATCATCTGGCTGTGGTAGGAATTATATTTCGCTGTGGTTTCACTATAAATATCAAATTACGTAAGTGTCTGGACTGTAAGCATGTCATAACGAACTATGGCAGATATATATACGAAGTCCGAGTCATATGCACTGAACTAAAAGTTTTACTGTAAAAGTTAAAACTAACTTACTTAGGGTGCAAATTCACTTTAGGCACCTTAGGTATCACAAAGTGATGCACAGATTTCTGTGTATCATCAACTGATGCACAGACTTTTCGTATATCAAGGAATGATGCAAAAACCCTAACCCTAACCCTAAGACACTTCGTGATACCTAAGCCAAGGTTATACTTTACGCTGTGGCTATATGCCCGGCAGCCGTCAGATCTACGGGCGGCTGCCGGGCATATAGCCACTGTGTATATTTTAGGCAGTGGCTACGGGTACGGGAGTCCATTCGCTTTCATACTTAACGAGACAAAGATGGCGGCGGTGGCGCTAGATTTCGAAATAACGCCTTGGGAAATAAATTCACGATTTGAGAGTTTAGATGAGCTAGAACCCTAACCCTAACCCTAAACCTAACCCTAACCATAACCCTAAACCTAACCCTAACCCTAATCCTAACCCTAACCCTAACCCTAACGTAAAAAAGGGGCTTGAACGACCGACGGCTACCGTACCTCCAGCCACTGCGTATATTTTATTCATGTTGTGTTGTTAGGCCCCATAAAAAAAGATGTTAGTTTATCATCCCCGCCCGCATCACTTTTTCCGCCCGCATCAAATTATTTTTTTTTTTT